CAGAATCTCAGAATCTCAGAATCTCAGAATCTCAGAATCTCAGAATCTCAGAATCTCAGAATCTCAGAATCTCAGAATCTCAGAATCTCAGAATCTCAGAATCTCAGAATCTCAGAATCTCAGAATCTCAGAATCTCAGAGTCTCAGAGTCTCAGAATCTCAGAATCTCAGAATCTCAGAATCTCAGAATCTCAGAATCTCAGAATCTCAGAATCTCAGAATCTCAGAATCTCAGAATCTCAGAATCTCAGAATCTCAGAATCTCAGAATCTCAGAATCTCAGAATCTCAGAATCTCAGAATCTCAGAATCTCAGAATCTCAGAATCTCAGAATCTCAGAATCTCAGAATCTCAGAGTCTCAGAGTCTCAGAATCTCAGAATCTCAGAATCTCAGAATCTCAGAATCTCAGAATCTCAGAATCTCAGAATCTCAGAATCTCAGAATCTCAGAATCTCAGAATCTCTGAGAATCTCAGAATCTCAGAATCTCAGAATCTCAGAATCTCAGAATCTCAGAATCTCAGAATCTCAGAATCTCAGAATCTCAGAATCTCAGAATCTCAGAATCTCAGAATCTCAGAATCTCAGAATTTCAGAATCTCAGAATTTCAGAATCTCAGAATCTCAGAGTCTCAGAATCTCAGAATCTCAGAATCTCAGAATCTCAGAATCTCAGAATCTCAGAATCTCAGAATCTCAGAATTTCAGAATCTCAGAATCTCAGAGTCTCAGAGTCTCAGAATCTCAGAATCTCAGAATCTCAGAATCTCAGAATCTCAGAATCTCAGAATCTCAGAGTCTCAGAGTCTCAGAATCTCAGAATCTCAGAATCTCAGAATCTCAGAATCTCAGAATCTCAGAATCTCAGAATCTCAGAATCTCAGAATCTCAGAATCTCAGAATCTCAGAGTCTCAGAGTCTCAGAATCTCAGAATCTCAGAATCTCAGAATCTCAGAATCTCAGAATCTCAGAATCTCAGAATCTCAGAATCTCAGAATCTCAGAATCTCAGAATCTCAGAATCTCAGAATCTCAGAATCTCAGAATCTCAGAATCTCAGAATCTCAGAATCTCAGAATCTCAGAATCTCAGAATCTCAGAATCTCAGAATCTCAGAATCTCAGAATCTCAGAATCTCAGAATCTCAGAATCTCAGAATCTCAGAATCTCAGAGTCTCAGAGTCTCAGAATCTCAGAATCTCAGAATCTCAGAATCTCAGAGTCTCAGAGTCTCAGAATCTCAGAATCTCAGAATCTCAGAATCTCAGAATCTCAGAATCTCAGAATCTCAGAATCTCAGAATCTCAGAATCTCAGAATCTCAGAATCTCTGAGAATCTCAGAATCTCAGAATCTCAGAATCTCAGAATCTCAGAATCTCAGAATCTCAGAATCTCAGAATCTCAGAATCTCAGAATCTCAGAATCTCAGAATCTCAGAATCTCAGAATCTCAGAATCTCAGAATCTCAGAGTCTCAGAATCTCAGAATCTCAGAATCTCAGAATCTCAGAATCTCAGAATCTCAGAATCTCAGAATCTCAGAATCTCAGAATCTCAGAATCTCAGAATCTCAGAATCTCAGAATCTCAGAATCTCAGAATCTCAGAATCTCAGAATCTCAGAATCTCAGAGTCTCAGAGTCTCAGAATCTCAGAATCTCAGAAAAAGTTCTGTTTCAAGTTGTTCAAAAAATTTGACTTTTTTCTGTTTCATGATATTCCTATTATGGGCATAACTAAATTTTGCTATTCATAGTTCCCCAAACTTACGTCGATTGCACTTCTTGCCCCTCCATCCTGGTTGGCATGAGCAATGTCCACTTATTGGATCACAAATCGCCCCATTCTCACATTCACAAGTCTCCTCGCATTTTGCTCCATAGTGACCACTGGCGCAAGCCTTCTCACAATGTTCACCACTCCAGCCAGGTAGACATTCGCATCGACCGGTTTTCCGGTCACAACTTGCTCCGTTTTTACAATTGCATCGTTGGGCACAGTTACGCCCAAATTGGCCAAATGGGCATACTGAAAAAAATATCAGCTTCCTGGATAACATACATCTCACTCGTACTCGTTGCTCTTACTCGTTACTTGGGTTACTCGTAGAAACTTCAAGAGCTCTTATCAAAGCGTTATCTCATAAGTGAACTTCGAGCTCAATTAGCTTGGTTTCTATAAGAGATATCAAAATTTTGTCAACTGATAAATTTTTTATCATTAATTGATCAATACTTTATCAGTTGATTAGTTTTCGATATCTCTCAAAGGAACCAAGGTAATTGAGCTCAAAGTGCAGGTACTCTAAATCTCTTAAATTTCCACTTACAAAACTCGCATGACGGTCCTGTCCATCCATCGACACATTCACAATCTCCAGTTTCCTTGTTACACTCTCCACCATGCATACACAAACAATGCTTCATACAATTCGATCCCCATAACCCTGCCGGACACTCGCTCTCACAATTTTTGCCCATGAAGCCGGATGGGCAATCACAGAATCCTGTTACTCGATCACAGGACGCTCCATTTGAGCATTGACAAGAGTGACGGCATCCTTCACCGTGGCGACCCAGGGGACAGGATGTTTGACAGTCTGGACCTGTCCAGCCAGCAGGACACCTACATTCTCCGGTCACATGGTCACAACGGGCGACGAATGGGTTGTAGGTAGAGGTGTCGTCTGGAAGAGGAGTAACTTTAATTGTGCCTTATTCTCAAGAGAAATCAGATCTCTCAATATTCTTTCTACTAGAAATATACATGAAACATTTGAAAAAGTTTAGAAAAAAACCTACTTGAAGTAGTGCAATCACAAATGGCATTACAACCCTCTCCGAATCTTCCATCCGGACATGGCCGATCACACTTCTTCCCTCTCCATCCAGCTCGACACTCACAAGATCCCGTAATCGAATCACAGACTCCTCTATTCTGGCACGAACAAATTCCTTTACAACCTGCGCCAAACAGTCCGTGCTCACAAGTCTCCTCACACTTGTGACCCTTTTTCCCTGGCGGACAGATACATTCGCCGTCGGATGGATCACAGTGCATGCCATCTGCACAGTCGCATTTTCTGGAACAATCCTTGCCAAATGTTCCTAGTGCACAAGCTTTTTCGCATTTCTTTCCACTCCATCCTGGTGAGCACTCGCAAGATCCGTCTTTGGGATCACAGATGGCTCCGTTTTGACACTTGCAGAGCTGCATACAGTCGATGCCAAAGCGGCCAGTGGGACAGACTGAAAATGAATTATTTCATGAATTGAGTCATAATTTTTTTTTGATTTGATAACTATGTGAGTGTGGAAAATAATTGAGTCATAATTTCAGATCTTTTTGAAATAGTATTTTCATGTTTTTTCGCGAAAAAAGGAGTCTATGAAAGTTCCGATTGGATTCGTGGACCAATTTTTGAGCTGCCACAGAGCTACGCGGTCAGGGAACGTAAGTCAATGAGATACGAGATTGATAGTCAGCTATGTGGATGATAGTCCCGGCCGTGTAGCTGAGTCGGTAGATCAAACTGAGTTGAACTGTCACAACTGTACTTTCCCTAATGGCTTCAATAGGGAAAAAACAGTTATAAACAAAGACCGAAATCTGGTATTTTGGAGTTAAGTCGAGATAAAAATTAAGTCATATTTTCCGGCATTTTTGAAAAAGTGAAATTTTTAACAAAAATTGGAAACTTCGCGTTGGGATTTTTGAGCTGATGACCGCGTAGCTGATGGCACAAGTTAATTATGAAAGTGGTGTCTATTTAAGCTTTGTTGGACTCGTGGATCAACTTTTTGAACGGCCACAGAGCTACGCGGCCGAGATTCGTGAGCCAATTGTAAGAGAGTTAGCGTCACTGAGCTACACGGTTGGTAGTAAGAATCACAATCGCGTAGCTGAGCTGGTACCCTCGATGAGTTAAACTGTCACAACTTCTTATTGGACTTTAATGGGCAAAAGACCGTTAAAGAAGATGATTAAAAAGGTATTGTTGTTGAAGTGTAAATAAGAATCAAGTCATAACTTTCGACCTTTTTGAATAGCAAACTTTTTTAGAAAAAGTTATGCGGTTGGGAATTGTAGCTGAAGCTGAGATCGGACGGTCGCGGCCGGCCCTAGCTTAAATTGATCACTAACCTTCACTACACGTCGCTCCATAGAATCCAGGTGTACAATGACATGATCCATCCCTCTCGTCACATTTAGCACCATTCACACAAGAGCACGTATGTGCACAATTTGGACCATATGTGTTCATGGCGCAAGCTAAAACAGAGACTTTCGTAAATGCTCTAGTGAAACCCTACACGGTCACTTTGAGGTCAATTATCTCGGCTCCCATGAGAGATATCAAAAAATGTTCAATTGATAAATTTTTCTGATAATATTATCAATATTTTATCAGTTGACCAATTTTCAATAATTCTAATAGGAACCGGTGGCAATTGAGCTCAAAGTACAAATACGTCTGAGACTTCCAAATAAAGGATCTAGAACATTCTCTACAACAAAAAAAAGTTTACAAACATTGATCACAAAGTGGTCCGGTCTTTCCGGGAAGACATGTGCACGTTCCAGTCACATGATGACAGACTTTGGTACGGTGTGAAGATTCAACATCGTCGCATTGGCATTTCCGGTCACAATCGTATCCAAAGTAACCGGCTGGGCATGCTGAAACTTCTAATGTGCTAGGAGTTGGTGTCTTTTAGGAAAAGATCCTACTCCATACGAGCTATTGGATACTGACTGAGGTGAAATGGTTCTTGGAACTATCGATAACATTATCCCAAGAGAATATCTACTTGATGAAACGGAAGTTTTCTAGGTCAGTGCTCGGAGTTGGTGTCTTATACTCACAAGCTATAAGATCCTACTCCATCGTACCACAGATTTAAAAAAAACACTTACGCTGATCACAAAGGTTTCCTTGATACCCAGCTGGACATTTCTTGGTGCAATCTCCGGTAACTGGGTCGCATCTAACTCCTGCAGGACACGAGCACTTTCGAGCACATCCTGGACCATAGAGTCCCGGAGAGCACATCCGTTTACAATGATGACCGTAGTAGCCAGGTTTGCAGCGGCATTTTCCGGTCTGAAAGAATTATTCGTTAAGATGAAGAGTACTTCGAGCAGGCTGTCCAAATCGCGGTGCTTAGCTTTTTGCTTAGGTCTTAAGCTCAAGCCTAAAGCTCTAGCCTGAAGCATATGCATAAACTTTAAGCTTTAAGGTTATGCTTTGAGCTTAAGCTTAACGTTGAAGCATAACGTTTATGCTTAACATTTAAGCTTAGCTTTTAAGCTTAACGCTTGAGTTTAATGCTCAAGATTTAAGCTCAAATATCTCGTTTCCTATAATAGTTATCAAAAATCTGTCAACTGATGAAATGCTCATCATGATATCCTCAACACTTTTCTAGTTTTCAAATTTTTGATATCACATTAAGAAAGACTCACAATCTCATCACATCCTTCTGAATGCTCTCTGGCACATTTACACGGGAATCGACAGTTCTTTCCAAATGTAAAGTTTGGACACGACTTCTCACAATTTTGACCATAGAGACCATCTGGGCAGGTACAGTAGCCAAAGATGGGGTCGCATCTACCGTTTAGGCAGTCCATACGACACTTTAGATTGCATTGTGACCCGTAGTAGCCTGAAAAAAGATTTTGGATTTTTAAAGTTTCAGGAGGTTGATGAGAAGGAATTTTTACGAAATCTGTGTTCATATAACATCTTATAATCTTACAATTTACTGTTTCAAGCTGTCTATCATGTTTGAAATGTGTTCCTCGTATGGTCAACATGATTTTAATATAGTTAAATCACTCACCATCCGGACACGGTCCATCTGAACACCTCTCTGGATCCTCACATCTACAAGAACCAGTAGTTGGGTCACAAAGTTTACAAGAACATTTGTGAGCACAATCCACACCCCATAACCCATTCGGACAGATTTGTTCGCACTTTTCTCCGGTGTAGCCAGAAGGACAGTCACATTTTGATAAGAGTCCTGCTCCACGCATCGAGCACTTGCCACCGTTTTGGCAGTCCGAACAGGATAGTTGGCATGTGGAACCGAAGAATCCATTGGGGCATTCTGAAATGTATTGTTTTGGATGGTCAGTAAGGGGAGGCAAGGAATCGACCGCTTAGCTACCGTAGTTGCTCTAGATTATCTCGTTTTCTATGAGAGATATCAAAAAATTTTCAACTGATAAATTGGTTATCTTAATATCATCATTATATTATCAGTAAGCAATTTTTTGCTAGCTCTTCTGGGAACCGAGATAATTGAACTCAAAGTTCAGTGGCTTCTATTTGAGCGGATACGGTAAGCTGAAGTCGGTATGTGCCTTTAAAATTTGAAACCAAAAAACTAAATCCATCTAGCTACACAACAAAAAGAAGCGCAAACCTGTCACATGCCTCCTCCTTCCAAAAACTAGGGGCTTCGTATTGTAGCGTTCATCAGCTGGATAGTTTTCTATGGATGATATAACTTTATCTATAGAATCCACGACATCGAATTGTTTTGTGAATTCGTCCAGGTCTAAAATCGCAATACACAAGAAGCAGAAGCAGTTACAAAAAGCAAAATCTAGTTGAACAAAAGCTTCACTCACCGTTACTCAGAATATCCACGCTTTCAGAAGCAGCTGAAAAAAATACTATACTTTTTCAGGTTACTGTAACTATGACTCACCAACACACGACTTCTCATCATGAGCCAAAACGTAGCCTGCAAAGCATTGACATCTTCGACTTCCCTTTCGATTTTTGCACAATTGAGCGCATCCTCCATTATTGATAAGACACTCGTTGATATCATGACAACTGTGTCCGTCCTCTGATAACTCGAATCCAGTCTCACAAGAGCACATGTATCCGCCCTCTTGATTAGAGCAGATTTGCTCACAACCACCATTGTTTGAGGAGCATTCCGAAATGTCTGTGAATAAATTTTCAACAATTTTTCTGTTACAGAAAGGCCTTTTTTTGGTTGAGTACAGAGAACTGTTGGAAATGAAGTAAATTGGTCGTAATAACGCAAACACAAAACTTCAGCTTGGGAGAGCTATACAGTACCAGAATCGCCAATTTTAGAATCCTATAAAGATAGTTCAAAACCATGTTTATACTCATTTTGAAGCTGCTTTTGAGTTCTGTCTAAATATGTAATTTTTATAAAATTCTGAGCAAAACTGAAGGAGTTATGGAAACTTTACTAAACAGTCGCTGCTTCCGACTGCGTAGCTCAGCCAGCCGCATTTCCACTATTTGCACCAAAAGTTCAATTTCTCGAAGGTAACTTTTTTAAACTTATTTTTTTGTCTCACCTTCACACCCTCTTCCATCCATCATCAACCTGAATCCAGGCTTACACTGACACTCATGCGACCCCGCCAAATTCACACAAATCTGATCGCAGTCCCCATTGTTGTTGTTACATTCGTTTTGGTCTGGAAGGGAACAAAAATCGGATTAAAAAATCATAAAACCCAGTGGCCATAATTTCCTCCACTGATATAAGTGATAAGAGAACGGCAAACGGCGTGGTTGTGTGTTAAGAAATGATAAGAGACTACTATAGTGAAATTGTGCTGTGTAAAAGAAAACTGAAAAAATTAAAACTCGTAAAAATACAGGACATACTAAAAAAGTGTATAAAAATTCTAGATCTAGAAATCATGAGACAGTCTAAAAATTAGAATAATTAAATCACATCACTCTAATCTACTGAATTACCCTGACACCATTTCGAGTCGATTAACGCATAACCGTCATCGCAGAAACACTGTACGTGACCCGAATCGAGCTGCATGCACAATTTGTGACATGTCGAATCAGTGGGTGTCACACAGGTTACTGCTCATACGCATCCCAAAGTCGGGGTACTCGAGGAATGTTTAGGTGGAAAGGAGAAGAAGAAGATGATGGTGATGATGGTTTGGGAAGTGGAAGGTTGTCTTAATATATTGGAACCTACTTGGGAATAGAGAGTTAGGTAATACACTAATTTTTGAAGATATTGAAACAGAAAACGCTTTTTTAGTACGAATCGACTTCTTCCTGGTTCGTAAAACGTTTATGAGGTAACTTTTACTTTATTTATCTCGGTCTCTTCGAATGATATCGATATGTGATCAACTAACAAAATGTTGGCCAAAACATAAAAACCTTTCTTTAGTGAACAACTTCTTGATATCTTTCACAGAAAACGAGATAAATTAGCTTAAAATGCGGTCCCATCACTTTTAAGCATAACTCACCGTGACACAACTTTTGATCATCCGCTAGAACATATCCCTGTCTACATTTACAAACGTGCCCTCCATCGGGTTGATCGTAACAATCATGCTGACATCCTCCATTTCCTACTTGACACCCTCCCAACATTTCTTCACAAGTTCTACCATCACGTCCCAGTTGGTATCCTTCCCGGCATTTGCATCGGTATGTGCCTTTAATGTTCTCACAGTAGTGCTCACATCCGTTGTCTTTGGAGCACTCGTCGATGTCTGGAAGTTATAGAAACTTAGTATGTGTATCTGAAGATTTCTTCGTGGGGGTTCAACCCCCTTGGGTTTTCTCAAGGATTGAGTACCCCTTAGACTGTAAGACCTTTAGGGTCTTTTCTAGGATACGAAACACCTTGGATCAAAAACCCCTAAGGTCCAAAACTCTGAGGGTCTAGCATTCTAGGGTTTCCCCTGGGACGCATAAAGTGTCCCCTAGGATCCGAAACCACTTGGATCCAAACCTCTTTGGGTCCAAACCCCTAGGATCTAGTACCCCTAGTGTCCAAAACCCCTCGGGTCTAGATCCTCTATATTCTTCCCTAGGATCTTCAAAAGACTCACCAACGCACGACCTCCTATCATAAGACAAATGGAATCCTGGATAGCATTGACATTGTACCCTTCCATTGTTATTTGTACAGTGATGCTGACATTTTCCATTATCATCCAAGCATGGGTCGATTGCCTGGCACGATCGTTTATTTTCAGACAACTTGAATCCCGGACGACATCTACATCGATAGAATTCGCCATTGGCATCATCTTCACAATCATGATCACATCCACCATTATCAACGGAGCAGGAGGTTACTTCTGGAAACAAGAACTTTGAGATGTTTATTGAAGTTTAAGTTTAATGTTTCAAATAGTTTTCAAATATTGGTCGAGGTATTCTGAATTTACTTATTATGTTCAATATGATGATTCGGAACTAAACTCACTTCCACAAGTCCTCCCATCCGAATGTAGATACAAATCCGATGGACAATCACATCTGAATCCACCTGCAGTGTTCACACATCTCTCCGAACATCCTCCATTTGCAGTTGCGCACTCGTCGATGTCAGTACAAGTGTTTCCATCAGTGGCGAGCTCGAATCCAGGCCAACATCGACAGTAGAACGTTCCAATCGTATTCACACATTCGTGCTCACAACCACCATTGTTTGCCATGCATTCGTTGATGTCTGACAATAAGTTAAATATGTTTCATCTATTCCATGAGCACCATAATTTTTTTGGGATTAGAAATTTTGATCAGAGTTGTACTATCAGATGAAACGTTTGCTGTTTTATAAACACCATGAAGTTTTTTTTGGATTGAGAACTTTAATGACTCGAGATTTATTTAAACTCACCATATTGACATTTAGCTCCTGTGAATCCAGGCGGGCACTCGCAAACTTGTTCATTGTCGTTGTGCTCCGATGGAACGCATGTGCCGCCATTGTGGCATAAGTCGGATGAGCAGTTGGCTGAAAATTATAAGGTTAGATAAAGATCCACATAGCTGAGCTGGTAGGAGCAGCCGTGTAGCTCTAGGTGCTGCGGGGACGCTTGAACTTTAACAGAGTCAACAGAGAGACTGTTTATAATATTTAAGATTTGTATAGTTTAGTTAAATATTTTGCTGTTTCACACTGTTAAAAAATTGTCAGTATTTCAAAAATTTTTAATTCGTTCGGAGTTGTGAGTGCTTTAAGTTCTAATAACTTTTATTCCCTCACTTTTTCGCGGATCTCAATGCCCCTCATTCATTTTTTATGACAATGGTCCCTTGATTCCCCCCCCCCCCCCCCCACCCATCTGTCGTCATCCTTATAAGGCTATTCAACAGACAAAAGAGTTACCGGAATGGCATATGGTTGGTGGAACAATAATTAGGTCTTCTTCCCCTCAATGTTCAATTGTTCAAAGGTTGTATGTATGGGATGAGCATGAATTAATAATTCACGCCGTTTGCTCATTAGCTTGGGAAACCTATTTTCACTGTTTCGTGTAACAGGTTTAAAGATGAGATGGAGTTTGTGGAGATAATGCACTCGTACACATCAATTCAATTTATCTCGCTTCTCGTAAGAGATATCAAAAAATGTCCCACTAATAAAATAATTTACATGGAATGACTCCCAAGTGTTACCCTCGAAAAAAATCGAGACCTATATGGTTGGATAGAGCGTAAAAAGTTATTTTAGCTTCCAAACGGAATACTTGTTAAAAAATTTCTTTTGGGAGTTATGGTCCAAAAAGTACCAAAAAATGTCTAAATTTTCAAAAAATCATAACATTGTCAGTTTATGTCCGTTTGTTGAAATTTAAAAAACAGCAGATAGACAATTGATTGAACATTTGAGAATAAATTTTTTTAATTTTTTTCCTATTGATTGGTTTATTGATTTTT